AAAAAAAAAAAAAAAAAAAAAAAAAAAAAAAAAAAAAAAAAAAAAAAAAAAAAAAAAAAGAAGCAGAAGGAAAGAAAGGATGTGTCGCTGATTTGCTTTTCTGCAAGTCTTGTCGCTGGCGACGGTGCGTTTGTGGGCGTCTTCCGATTTTTAATAATGGGTAAATAAAATAAACCGCCACGTGAAAATCAGATCGATAAAATTTCACATCATTATCAATTTATTTAAATTCACTTGCTTCAAATAAATAAATAATTCTGTTAACGTGAATTATTGTTTTTTTTCTTTTAATGTTTGCTATAATTATTTTTCGGGGGTATTTATCTTTTTTCCTTTTTTTAAAAAAAAAAAAAACTTAAACTCCATTTAAATATTTTATAATTGAGTTGAATTTGTTATTTAATTAAGGTCGTTTGAGTCAATAAAATTTACAATTTTCTCGGTACGGTCTAAGAAATGTCTTAACTCGAGCCAATACAAACCATGAACATTCTTATAATTGTCTTCTATTTCCACTTTCACGTCATCTGTAGTTAGTTTTATGCCCTCGCCCTTGTAATTATTTTATAGTTTTAGAAATATATATTTATTTTTTTTGTATATTATTTTACCATCTAATACTGATACTCTTGACTTAATTATGCTGGAGCTGGACCTGAGTGTAACATTTAAAATAACTATTTTTAAAAAATTTTAAAAGTAAAATAAAAGAAATGAGGTAAATTATCCATATAAGTACTTCCATATTGATTTGATATTATCTTATTATTTAAAAATGTTTTTAAATATTTTCTGTATTTTAAATGATTCTAACTGTTTCCAAAAGTATTTGGAATCTTTTTAGTACTGTTTTTTTAATGAAAAATACTTTAAAAAAAAGTTCATTTACTTTCAAATATATTCTTAATCTTAACTAAATACACCTTTGGCATAAGAATGTATTAAAAATGTGAAGCTATAAGGTCAACATTCACACATTTTTTTTCCTGGCACTTTGATAATTATGCGTATGCGAAATTAATTAAATACCCCTATAAAAAAAAGTCCACTCTTTTATTGTTACCCAATCTCTGTATAAAACAATTATTAATAAAAAAAATAAATATTACTTTTTATAGATGTACGGTAAAATATTTTAATCTTGATGTAACTAACAATTTTATTTTTTAAAGACAAATGATCAGACTTGTTGATTAATTTGATTTGTCTATTTGGGATTCTCTGTATTTTAGATTTAGTTCATTTTTATCTAAAACGCCATTTTAACTATTTACTTTCAAAACATTTAATTTAAAAAAATGAAAAGGTCCCCAATAGATGGTGGAGTTGAGTACCTATGTTGATGGTGAAGATTAATGAAGTATTTTTTTAAAGTTCTAATTTTTTTTTGTTGAAATAAATATTAATTATAAATATATACAATTTTTTAAAGTTTAAAAGTAAAGTAATAATTGATATATGTATATTATATATATTTTAAATTTAAAGGCATTTATGAAACAATAAGAGAGTAAGGTTAAGAAATATTTTTATTTTATAATGCTCTAAATTGAAGAAAACCAGATAAGCCACTTCCGTCTGACGACTGAAAATTCGCCCCACCGATATGGCGTCTCCAGCCGCAGCGCCACCGTCACCCTTCCAGTCTCAGAGATCTCCCCTTTCTTCCTCTCAGGCCGGCGCCGCCGCCTCACCTATTCATCGTCTTTCTACCTTCACTTCCCCTCATCCCACCAACACTACCACTGCCACATCTCCCTTGGATTCCTTTGCTTCCGATCCTGTTTTCTCTGCCTTCCTCTCTCCTTCATTCTCCTCCAGTTCCTTCTCCTCTGCCGCTCTCTCATCCGGTTCCCCGGCCTCCACTGCTGAGAAGCTTCAGAAGGCCATCCGTCTCCTCGAATCGCAGCTCCGGAGTGAGGTTCTCTCTCGTCACAATGACCTGCTCTCTCAACTCTCCTCTCTAAAGCACGCTGAGAATGCCCTCTCCACTATTCGATCTGGTGTTTCCTCCCTCCAATCCTCCGTTCGCCGTGTCCGATCCGAGCTATCTGAACCCAGAAATGTCGTTTCTACCAAGACCGTTCAGTTCTCCAATCTTCACGAAACTACCGAGCTTCTCCAGCATACGATCCGTGCCCTTCGTTTGTCGAAGAAGCTTCGCGACCTTGCTTCTGCCTCTGCTGATGAGCCTGAGAAGCTGGATCTTGCTAAGGCCGCTCAGCTGCACTGCGAGATCTTGAGCCTTTGCAATGAGTATGACCTTGCGGGCATTGACGTTGTCGACGAAGAATTGAAATGGGTTAATGAAATTGGGGATAAATTGAGAAGTGAGGCTATGAAGGTTTTGGAGAGAGGAATGGAGGGTCTGAATCAAGCTGAGGTGGGGACTGGCTTGCAGGTATTTTACAATCTTGGTGAATTGAAGGCGACCATTGAGCAATTGATGATCAAGTATAAGGGTATGGGTGTGAAGAGCATAAGTGTGGCATTGGATATGAAGTCGATTTCGGGAACGGCTGGAAGTGGATATGGACCGGGAGGAATTAGGGGAAGTGGGACGCCACAGATTGGTGGAGGTGCCAAGGCAAGGGAGGCGCTCTGGCAGAGATTGGGAACTTGTTTGGATCAGTTGCATTCGATTGTTATAGCTGTTTGGCATTTACAGAGGGTCTTATCGAAGAAACGTGACCCCTTTACTCATGTTTTGCTGCTTGACGATGTTATTCAGGCAAGTGATATTCAAAATCTATTCTGTTATGTAGTTAATCAAGACTCTTGTCATATCTGATTTGCGAGTGATAAGCCTAAGATATGTTTTGCTGCTTAACTTAACGTTTTGGTGGATTGATATCTGTCTCTAATTGACAGATTTCGCGTATAAAATAGAGAAGCTTGAGACATTTGAATCCAATGATCACCTGGTGACATTGGTTGAATATAGTCAAGGAGTGAAAACAGAGAAACTGGACACATTTGAATTTAGTGACCACCCGGTGACATTGGTTGAGTATAGTCCAGGAGTGAAAGATATAGTAAAGGGTCTGTTAAATTCTCAAGCTGGTGAACTTTTCTATTGTTAAATTTGACTATAATATAGCATTTACCGTTAAAATTTGATAAAATAAATGAGTCGTTAATTGATCATCTTGAGAATTCTTCTTCTAGTTGAGAGTTGAAAAGAAGACCAGGACAGGTTTCCGTCTCAAATTTTTTCTGGGCTTGATTTAAAACTTACCCAAGTTGTCATCATTTCCTTTCCACCCCTCATTTGATACTTTTTTTCTTTGATAAACATTTTGGCTATTTCCATTGTAACCAGTTTATTTTTGGGAGGGGGATCTGTCTTCCCCTAAACCCCTAGGCTATTCTCGTTTTCTGTGCTACCATGAGCATGTTTCTTATTAAAAAAAAATGAAAAAGAAGTTAAAAAAAAAAAAAAAAGAGAGAGAGAGATCAATATGCATCATGTTGAAAATTGTGAGATTTCAGTGCAAATTGTTGTTTGTAGGTCATCGTTTGTGCAATGCAAATTACAGTGCAGATACTTGCGTTGAAGTTTTGTTTTAGTATTAGATTCTTTCATACTTAATTCGAAACAAAATCTTTCTATAGTCACACAAGTCCTTGTTCTGCTTAATTTTCCCCCACTTTGTCTATAGTTGTCTTAAAACTTTCTCCATTTGGGATTCAGTTTCTTATATTACTAATGTATTGTTTAGGAAGGTGATTCCATGCTAACAGATCGAGTTTGGGAGGCTCTTGTGAAGGCTTTTGCTACCCAAATGAAGTCTGCTTTTACTGCATCAAGCTTTGTGAAAGAAATATTCACTATGGGGTATCCAAAACTGTTCTCAATGATAGAGAATCTTCTTGAAAGAATTTCACGTGATACTGACGTCAAAGGGGTTGTGCCTGCAATAAGTTCAGGTGGAAAAGATCAGATGGTTGCAGCCATTGAAATATTCCAGAACGCATTCCTGGGTTTCTGCTTGAGTCGCTTATCTGATCTTGTTAGCTCTGTATTTCCAGTCTCAAGTCGTGGTAGTGTTCCTTCGAAAGAACAGATCTCAAAAATCATATCACGTATTCAGGAAGAAATTGAATCTGTTCAGATGGATGGACACTTAACTCTACTTGTGCTACGTCAAGTTGGCAAGGCTCTTCTCCTGCTGGCTGAAAGAGCTGAATGTCAGGTAGTTAGTTTCCTTGGTGACATTGGCATACTCTAATTTCTAATATCGAAAGCAAGGGTATATAATCCTAAGTTACATGTCCCTACTGTTTTTTCATGCAAGATTTCACCCCTTAGCAATTTGCCAAGTATGCTCCATCTATAAAATACTTCAAGTGACCTGGGAAACATGTGTAGCAGCATGATATTTATTTATAGGACTAGAAAAATTTTCTTCCTGGTGCTACCTACTGCCTTACTAGACCAATTATTTGCAGTTTATTTAGTTAAAGTTCTTAAACTGTCCCTGTTCTCTGTGAATCATCGCCTTACATCCTTCAGGAAAAATGAAATGGTCTTATTGGTTTTCATAAGAGGGAGAAAGTTTTCGTGTTATGGGATCTGGATGTACTTTGTGTTATATCCGGAGGATGTTGTGATGTCCATGGAAAATAATCAGAGACGGACTTCTAAAAGAGAAGAACTTTTTCTTTTGTAATGATTTTTGTTTAAACTTAAGTTTAGATCAGGAACATTTATGTTTGGATTATATCTTTACACTATGAGTTGACTTGACCATATTATGAAAACTTGATGGCAGATATCTACTGGCCCTGAAGCGCGCCAAGTAAGTGGTCCAGCGACTCCAGCCCAACTTAAGAATTTCACATTATGTCAGCATCTGCAAGAAATTCATTCTCGGGTATCATCTATGATCACTGGGCTACCCATCATTGCTTCTGATGTTCTGTCTCCCGCATTAGGTTCAATATATGGGGTTGCCTGTGATTCCGTGACTTCGTTATTCCAAGCTATGCTTGACAGTCTCGAGTCATGTATATTGCAAATTCATGACCAGAACTTCGGTGCACTGGGTATGAATGCTGCAATAGACAATAATGCATCACCTTACATGGAGGAACTGCAGAACTACATTCTTCATTTCCGCAGTGAGTTTTTATCAAGGCTGTTGCCTTCATCAAAAAATGCAACCATCTCTGGATTGGAAAACATTTGCACTCAGCTTGTAAGAAGCATGACTTCCAGAGTGTTAATTTTCTTTATCAGGCATGCTTCTCTGGTCAGACCTCTTTCTGAATCAGGAAAGTTACGAATGGCTAGGGACATGGCTGAACTGGAGTTAGCCGTGGGCCAAAATTTGTACCCCGTAGAACAACTCGGCGCACCATATCGAGCACTTCGAGCATTTCGTCCTCTTATATTCCTGGAAACATCTCAACTGGAGGCATCTCCTCTACTCCACGATCTGCCTGCAAGCGTCATACTTCACCATCTATATTCTCGAGGTCCTGAGGAATTGCAGTCACCAATGCAAAGGAACAAACTTACTCCTCAGCAGTATTCATTGTGGTTGGATTCTCAAGGTGAGGATCAAGTTTGGAAAGGTATCAAAGCAACTCTAGATGACTATGCTGCCAAAGTAAGGGCCAGAGGAGACAAGGAATTCACCGCAGTATACCCTCTCATGCTTCAAGTAGGATCATCATTGACAGAGAATTCTCGGGCTACTACATAACGTGCTTCATGCCCACAACTGTATTCTTTTTTCCTTAAAAGTGAGCCTGGACCGTGTTCCAATGTTAAATCCTTGACAATGATGCTGTGGGATAATAGCAGAGATACCGTGCTCAATCAATCACGACACGAAATTTAGGTACCAAGTCATTTGCTCAATTATTTCATTTGCCTCATACTACATGGTAGTAGCAACGATGCCACCTTTGAGTTTCATTTACCAGGTGATAAATGCAGGACCAAATTTATTTTCTATGATAATATCGTTACTCCACTTTGTATGTGCTCAAATACATAATTTCTGTAATAGTCATATCAGCATGGTGTAAACATTTTTGTGGATGATGAGTATGAATTATTGATTTTGATAGGATTTACGGTACGATGGTTGACCCATGAATGATAGTTTCAGGCGTCTGCTAAATGCAAATAATAATAATGCCAATGGGCCACTGCCTTTAATTATTTCCTTTCCCTTATTGTAGTGAGTACTGATGGCATTGCATCTGCGAGAATCTGTGCTATGAAAACAACTGCTCTTCTCTCTCTTCCAGAACTCATCAAAGCCTTTCCTTTCCTAATCAGATTATATCAAGTATGTTGGAAGTTAGTGATATTTGCTTTCAGATTCAATTATTTATACTTGTTATGCGTTGCGTAGTTTAGGCACCCAATTATGTTGATGCTAAGGTCTAGGATGCGATTGAATAACTACTACTTTTCTATTTTTGAGTACAAAGCATATCCTAAGATGATTATTGTAATGTTATGCCTCTTGCGAACCTCTAGTAATCAAAGTGAAGCATGAGTCATGTTCATACTCACATGACAGAGACGGTTTCCGTTTCTAACTAAACATCTCTATAATCCTCAAGAATCTACTAAAATTCTCAATATAACAAAACTTTTACTTCATATTGATCTAAGGGTGTTTATGTACTCTACTCGTACCACTAAACGACAAAACCTTGAGCGAAAGGATGCATTTGAACATTCAACCCTCAACCTTCAACTTTTGCCTTGGCAAGGCTATGTTCTACCATTAAAACTATTTCCAGCCGGTACAGTAGTGGCAAAGCACTACTTAGCTATTCACGTATCACGTCGAGACGGTCGATTTATGTTTTTCCACTAGACTACATTCGTCGACCTTCGGTTGTGGTCGTAGCACGAGTAGTTACAGGAGAGCATAAGAAAGGAAGAAAGAAAGAAAGGTGTATAGGGTGGTAGTAAATGTGTGGGGGAGGGCAGAAGCAGGAGGACATTGACGGTGGGGAGGCCAGGCCGAGCACCAAACAAACAAGAGAAATGTACAAAACAGTCCTTGGCCATTAAAAAACTGACACACAAACATAAAATCAAACCCATCTTATAAAGAAATGAATACCCATTACCCAATATTACCCAATATTACCCAGTACCCATTTGATTGAATGTGAAAAGACTCGTCCCCACCCCACCACACCACTTATCCCCAACCTTAAGCTGTCAAAAACATACACACATTCATTCAAACCAACCCTTGACGCAAAAACTTTCCACTCTTTTCTTTGTCCAAAAACAACACAAAGGCCAAAGCATTGATTGCAAGGGTGAAAATTAGGCACCCCTTGTCTGCCCTCTTCAGCTTTGTGTTAGGGTACCCTACATCGCATTACTCAAGCCCCAACCCAACCCAAAAAATCAGCGTACGGTCCCTCCCTCTTTTTTCCAACATACATAAAATCTCTCATAGCTTTAGAGCCAAAGCAGTGTATTATTATTTGTCCTTGCACAAAATATGATGATTTCTAAGAAAAAAAGAAAGAAAGAAGGAATGGGTTGCTCCACATTTGGGAACCTTGTTCATTGAATATGATTGAGAGCTAGCTCAACACGTATCCAAACCTTCATCCCTGGGATTCCTTCCACAAACAGAGTGGTGTGGGGAACCCTATTATTATCAACATTACATGCTAATCAAATTTTTAAATATAGACATTATTTTTTAAATTTCATTATTTCTCTACAATTGTTTACACCACTTTCAAATTTCAAAGCAGAAAAATAAGTATTTAACGCAAGGTATTAAACTTGGTGACCTATCCTAAATTGAAGAAAATGGACGGCTAGGATTTGGGGATCGCTTGTGAGGCGCGTTTTAATTATGGGGTTAATTAAACCGAGTCAAGATAATTAATTAAGAGTTAAAATGGAGTTAATTCATAATTATTGGCGAAGATAAAATAATGGACAAAGCTTCACACGCAAACTCGGGCGATTTTTTTTTTCTTTTATTAAAATAGGAGAAGGTGACAAGTCGGTTACGCCGTACCCGCAAACCCCCCCACTTTCCTTACGTGCGTCCACTGGACCGATACGACACGTGGCAGATACGCACAATGTCAGTCATTTTAATTTGATAACTCCTCGGTTATTGTTATTATTGTTATTTTTTTATTTTTGGGCCTCGGTAAATTAATACATAAATATCAAAAAACCAATCCAATATTCTGCTTGGAAGGGTGCTGAATCTCGGAAATGCCCTCGTATGTTTCTTGAAATTACGGGATTGACCAGATCTCTGTTTGTTTTGCTTTTACCTATAAATACAACGCTCAGATTAGTCCGTTTCGTTTCTCCTATCTCTTGAGGGAATTGTTTTTTTATTTTTTGTTTTGAAGCCTCTGCAGATAGAACCTAAAATTTCAAGTTCCCAGAAGACCAAGTCATTTCGTTTCGATTCGCAGAGATTGAAGGAAAGAACACACGAAGAAGACAGATCGGTTTCTTTCTTTCTGTGTGATTCACTGTTCTGATTATGTGAAATAGGCTTCTTCTGAGAGAGATTATGGGATACGGTGCTCCATTCACAGGTTTCAGTGCTAATGCTGCAGCGGCGGAGACGACTCTGCTTCCGCCGTACAATTATATAGCGATTGATTCGTTTCCCAAGGCTGCGGCGGCGTCGACGGCTGCTGGTTTGAAGTCTGATAGCGGTATTACCTATAACCTTCCGATTCCGAGGAAGCGCGCTAGAGATCATTCCACCATTAATCGATTTGTTTCGTATCCTTCGCCTGCTCATTTTCAGAAGAATTGTGGATGCAATCTCGATTTTCTTGGCGAAGATATCTCCAACCAATTTCAACACCAGCAATTCGATCTCGATCGGTTGATATCGCAACATGTACGGTATTAAACGCTCTTTAATTTCTCTCTGTCGACGGAGATTTAATTTATTAATGTGTGAAGAAGTGCTGGTTGATTAATTGGTTTAGAAAAACTTGCGGTTGTTAATTTTATATGTTTCTGTCATAATTTTGGGGAGCAGATGGAGAAGGTGAGAATGGAAATGGAGGAAAAACGGAAGAGGCAAGCGAGGAGGATTTTGGAGGCGATAGAGTTAGGAATGATGAGGATATTGAGGAGCAAAGAGGAGGAAATCGAGAAGATCGGGAAATTAAATTGGGAACTAGAAGAGCGAGTGAATTCTCTTTGCATGGAGACTCAAATATGGCGCGATGTGGCTCAGACGAACGAAGCCACCGCGAATGCCCTCCGTAGCAACCTGGAACAAGTCCTTTCACAGGTAAGAAACAACGATCACCAAGGCGCAGGATTCGAAGATCCTACCACAACTGCTGCCGTCGCCGCCGACGACGCAGAGTCCTGCTGCGGAAGCAACTACAACGACGACGGCGACGACGACGACGACAGAAAACAAGCCAATCACGGGCCGTGGCGAAACTTGAATGAAGAAGTTGAAGAATCAGAAGGGAGGAACAGAAGAGGGAGGAAAACGAGAAAAGGAAATGAGGACAGATGGTGCAAAAACTGTTGGAAAGAAGAATCGTGCGTGTTGCTATTGCCATGCAGGCATCTGTGTTTGTGTACTGTTTGTGGGTCATCTCTTCACACTTGTCCCATCTGCAACTCTACGAATAATGCCAGTGTTCGTGTAATCATGCCTTAGAAATTCAGAGGAATCACCAAAGTTTCATTTTTCCTCAAAAACATTAAACTCTGAACTAAATTATAAAAACAGAATTAGGAGATTAAGGAAGTTCACGCAAGTAATTCTGGATAGTTAAAACATTCGATATGATCCGTGTTTTTGTGCACGTACGGAGGCGATGTGACGTGGCTAGTGGGCGTAATTTAGTTACATGTGGGCGTAAGATAGTGGAGTAGCGTTGGAAGGGTGTATGTGGGGCCCACTGAGTGTTCCGACAGGTCATGGGTGTAATAAAGGAAGAGAGTAATATTTAAAAAAGGAAAAAGAGGTGGAGGTTTAAAAGCTGACACGTTGGACTCCCGCAAATATCGGTGTGTGATAGAGCAGTGGTATCCTAATTCTTTTGTTTTCTTTTTTACAATTTTATGATTTATTAGTAATTAATTATGGGAATCTAATTCTTTCGTGATTTAAACCAAGATAAAAATGGTTTGGAGTTATCTTAGAACGCATTCACGTGAAGCCTTACTTTGGTAAAATAAGTTATTATTAGAAAAGGGCGAGGATGATGATATCCATATACATATACATATACATATAGTGTGTGTGTGTTGTTAGCGCACGAATCTTGATTATAACACCACCAAAAATTTCATGGGTCAATTTGATTTTTGAGGTTGGAAAAGGAATAAGGATAAGCGAGAATAAAGCCGGAGAAACGTGAAGGTAGGTTTTATGATATGCGACAAAAACGCGAAGATAAAGCTTCATCTTAAGAAACTCCAAAATTGTTGTGGAAAGAAACAAAGGGAGTTAAGGATAAGAAAAAGTTATGGGTTGGTTGAGGTGTGGTGCTTGGGAGATGTGATGGGTGAATTTGATATTTTATAAGTTTAAAACGGGGGATGTGATGGGTGAATTTGATATTTTATAAGTTTAAAACGGGGGATTTGTGTAAAAAGAAACAACTGTGGGGGCATAAATGAAAAGTGATTCAATTATAAGCACCATCTTATCTTAGGTTTTAATTGCAACGGAGGAGAGAAAAAGATGAAATGATAAGGAGATGATGTGGACAATTGGAGATTTTTGGTCTGTTGTTTTTTAGGGGTAGGGATCTTTGGTCTTTCTAAGTGGGCCACCACCACCATTTGTCTCTTTTATAACTCCCATTCTCTTCATTGCATTTTCCCCCACTCTTACTCCTTACGGCCCCCACAATGATTTTGTCCCATATTTATAAGGCTCTAGGTTCGGCTTCTAGGTCGACCCGAGGGACTCGGTAAGAGTTGACTTGGATTAGCTCGAGGGTGATCTCAAATGCCTTTTAGCTATAGCTCTCGTAGCTCCTCTTGTAGACCACTTGTCCTTACTCATCCATTAGTTCACCTCACCACCCGCTGCCTATAATTTTGTGCAAACAATACTTTCCCTCTTCATTAACTCCAAAATCGATAAATTTTAGGGCTAATTGATGCACCAACGAGTATTATGTCAGATTTTGAATAATAAATTAAAATATAAAAAGTACTGTCTTTAACCAACATCGATATTTAAAATGATAAAGGTCGAAAAGAAAATTGTAAATTTATATATTATAAAAATGGCACATGCTCTCTTTTCTTCTGCATTTAGATTGCTCTGTTTTGTTGGATGCATAGCTGAAGTGAAGGGCTAACCCGTTCCAATAAAATTTTGACACGTGGCCTCATTTAAATATTTTGTTTTTCAATAACAAGATGAATTTAAAAATAAAAAAATAAAAAAAAACTTTATTGGGAAGAAATAAAATAATTCATCAAATTTTGTGGATAGTATTTAACATTATAATT